TCCAACACTTAATCTGCATCAAGGGCTATTTGTGCATGATTCATTAAAATCCTGAATGCAGTAGAGAGAATTAGAAACTACCTCATTTTGCAGTGAGGAATTTGAGGTTTTCTGTGTAATTTGTTTGGTCATGTAACCAAAGTTGTTTGAGCTCACATGATATTCACTACTGAATTTGAGCTCTTAGGCACTACAAAATTAGGTTTTAGAATCTAAATCAGACTTTAGAATATCAGCTTACTGGTTTATAGTTCATCTTCAGGTGAAATCAAAAATATACTTCAGTACATGTAACACAGACTAAATTCTGTTGAGGACAGCAGTGGTTCAAATAGCTGGGATTCCAGGAGAGGAGTGTCGAGAACAAGCGGGTAGGTCAACAGGGAGCTTGTGATAGCTGAATGAGTGTACCAGCTGGGGAAAAAAAAAAATGCATGAGACCTGAAGAGATAGGGATAGTCCAGATGCCTAAAGGGCAGTAGTGAAAATAAAAGGCTCAATATTTGTTGGGTGTCCTGTAATCTTTGCTGGACACAAGTCCTAAACCCAGGACTTGGGTCTGTTCTTTTAATTTGAAGCTTTAAGGAGAGGCACTTACTAGGAACCTGCCCAGTAGTGGAGTGCCTGAAAAAAAATCAGATGATCTTGAAGCACCAACCTTAATGAATTAAAGTTCAGTGAAAGCCTGTGGGAACAACTGGCCTTCACTCCAATTTAACACTAAGTTGGTTGTTTGAAATTTCCTTTCCTCAGCATGTGGGAAATGTCAAGTCATGGGGATTATTCTTACTGGTGTAACAGTTGCTTTGATGATTTTTCAGGTGAAGCACCAGAAGAAGAATTGGATTCCATGGCAAAACATGAATCGAAGGAAGACAAAATTTTCCAGAAGTTTAAAACTAAAATAGCCCTTGAGCCAGAACAGGTAAATTAGACTTCATACAGCTCTTTCTTATGTTCTTTTCAGGTGGTGTTTCCAGGGTATAACCCCTGAGAAGAGGGAACTACAATAAAGCTAGTGTCTTGTTACAGGAACCCTTCACACAGATGGTCTGCTGATTGCTTCAGTAGTTACTGAAGGACTACAGGTCGTACTGTTTATCATGTAGGGTCTATATTCTTTAAAAAGATTTTTTGAACATTGATTCATTTTTGAGAGAGAGAGAGACAGCGCAAGCAGGGGTGGGACAGAGAGAGAGGGAGACACAGAATCCAAAGTAAGTTCCAGACTCTGAGCTGTCAGCACAGAGCCCGACATGGGGCTCGAACTCACAAACCACAAGATCATGACCCCAGCCAAAGTCGGTCGCTTAACCAACTGAGCCACCCAGGTGCCCCTATATTCTAAAAAAAGTATCAGAGATAGCATATGAGTAAGATACTGCCTGTGATGCAAGGATTGTCTGCACCAGTGGCAACAAGAAAAAAATATTTTTGTCCATCTATCCAGCAGGGAAAACCAACATAACATGTTAACACAGACACTGGTCTTGAGAAAAGAAAAATGGGCTTTGGTGTTAAGCAGATCCAGAGCCCTGGATCCTTGAGTTATACAGTAAGTTCTAATGTAATTACATCTCCAGTGTGAAAAAAACAGGGTGGTTGTGCGGATGAAGGGAGGATACAGGCACACAGCAAGTGCTCAGCAGATGTTTCCCCTCTTCATCTCTGTTCCTCCGTTAACATCATTCTCCTTTTAAGAAAACTCAGCTAAACTCCAATAAAGCAGTCACTGAATCAAAGACCCAGGGCAAGGAGACCATGGGAAGAACAGACCTAGGTCCTAAACGCTGAGAAGGTAGTTTTTATTTTTAAAAATATTTTAAATAGTTTATTTTTTAGACAGAGACAGAACATGAGCAGGGGAGGGGCAGAGAGAGAGGGAGACACAGAATCTGAAACAGGCTCCAGGCTCTGAGCTGTCAGCACAGGGCCCGATGTGGGGCTCAAACCCACGAAGTGCGAGATCATGACCTGAGCTGAAGTAAGACGCTTAACAAACTGAGCCACCCAGGCACCCCAAGAAGGCAGTTTTTAGCAATGTATATACTTTTGACAAAACAGGAAGGCCACCCCGTTGGTGTATAACATCTTATAATGAAATATATTTGGAAAATTGGGGGCCTCAGTTGGTTAAGTGTCTGACTTCGGCTCAGGTCATGTTCTCACTGCTCTAGTTCGAGCCCTGTGTTGGGCTCTGGGAGGCTGAATCCTGCTTCGGATTCTGTCTCTGTCTCTCTGCACCTCCCCTGCTCACTCTATGTCTGTCTCTTCTCTCTCAAATATGAAATAAAAAATTAAAATTTAAAAAAAGTTATCGCTGTAGCATTTATTTAAACAAGTTTTTGACTTGGCATTTGTCCCTTTTAAAATTTCTAACAGGTTCCTTTAATCTGTGTGAAAGGAAGCACAAACTATGGGCTACATTTTGGATTCAGAAACTGGTAGTAAAGAAACAGGATTATGGTGGGACCCTACACAAAATACTCTTGGGATTCAGATTCTAACCATATTATCTTTTATGAACTATGACTTTGATGACCCAAGTCAGATAAACTAAAATGATGATGCTGAGGAAACATTAATGGTGCCAGGTCTGAGGTGAGGGAGCCTCACTGTGTTGCAGGTGAGTGAGGGAACTCGTGTAGGAACAGTTACAAAGTTTCTCCAGATGGTTATCAAGTCACATGCTACCAGCGGAAGCATAGATGCAATGTTGGTGATTTGAACATGATCCTGATTGATATCAGGTTCTCAGATATGGCAGAGGAATTGCACCCATCTGGATCTCTGGTGAAAACATCCCTCAAGAAAAGGACATTCCAGATTGCCCCTGTGGTGCCAAGAGAATATTTGAATTCCAGGTATGACCTCAAGAGCATTTTAATATACAGTTACCCTGGGCTATGTAATTAAATCTATAAAACTTACTGAAGTAATATACGCACATGGGTCCTGTTAATGCAGAAAGTGCCTTGTCCCACCTAAGGGCTTGTTCCCTGGAAGGAATTGTCTTTTACTGTTTTATCTGGTAGTTCTTTCTCTTTGTAAATAATGTGCTTTTTCTGATAACTTGTCAGTTTATTAGTTTTTAGACATGCGCCGTTGATGGACATGTGCAATAAGGAGGATTTAAATGTAGTTGCGTCTATCATCATGACCATCCCCCCACCTCTGAGTATGGTTAGATAATCATTTTTAGTGTTTCCATTTTGTTATATTTGTAATTCTAAATATACCTTCTTTTCTTGTACTGGCTATTAAGGCCTTTTTACTTGGTGATAGGAGTGTTATAGAGGCCTTACTCAGTTTAGCTTCGGTTTTTGAAATTGGTAGGAAAACAAATGGATAGAATTAAGATGGTTTTTCAAAAGGAATTGTTATGATCACAATTCTTTTGGCTTGGATAGAAATGCTCTTGAACTGTGGATTTACTAACCTTACAAAGTGGTAGGTGATATTTGTTTCTTAGAGTGAAAAAAGGAATTGTGAAGACTATGTCCAAAATTAATTGATTTAGTGTCAAAGCTGGAGATTGAAAGACCCAAGATCCCTGGCAAGGAAGGAAGCTTTCTTGCCTCAAAGCAGGGCTCTAATTGTGTTATCTTCTCCTCAGGTCATGCCTCAGCTGCTCAACTACCTAAAGGCCGACAGACTGGGCAGGAGTGTCGATTGGGGTGTTCTGGCTGTCTTCACCTGTGCTGAAAGCTGTAGACTGGGGACTGGCTACACAGAGGAATTTGTTTGGAAGCAAGATATAACAGATACACCCTAAAGACAATGTCATAAAGCCTTACAAATGCTCATAATCTCTTAGGCCTTGCATTTCCATTACTACAATTTTATCCTAAGTAAATAATTATACCAGAGACAAAGATGTTGTTTTAGGTGAGTTTACAATTTGTAAATATTAGTGAAACGATTAAGTCCAGTGACAAGTAGTTACTTTTGGTGTATACCTACAGAAGGTTATAGAGTCTTAATGATACAGACCTATATGCACATCACATATGACAGAGGTTTTAGCTGACACCAAGATATTCATAGTACGTTCATATCCTTTGTAAAAGTATGTATGTTTATGTTCACAGAAATCTGGGAAGATACATACTTGGTGTGAACTAATTAATTATGGATGGTAGGACTAAGTGAAGTAATTATTTTATCTGTATGTTTGTTTCTACTTAAATAAAAGTGGGTTAATTGCCTAATTAAAACAATCTGTTACTCAGAGTGTTTTTCCTCCTAAAATTTGCAGTGTTAAGCCAAGAGAAAATTATTTGGGTAAAACCTGAAGAGGTTTGTCTGGTAATCAGGTGATTGTGACAGGCTCCAGTATACATAGAAGCCCAGAACAATGAGAAAATAGGGCTGGTGAGTGTGATGATTTCAGCTGAATTTGAAGAAAAGCTCTACTTCAAAAGGACCTTGATCAGCCAGGAGCACTGCTCAGAAGAGAGACTGTACATATATAAATATGTATATATTGTTATATATGTACCCATATTTATGTAATTAATAGATTGGTGTATAAAATACAGTGAAATGGGGCAGCTGGATGGCTCAGTTGGTTAAACAGCTGACTTTGGCTCAGGTCACAATCTCACGGTTCATGAGTTTCAGCCCCACATGGGTCTCTGTGCTGACAGCTCAGAGCCTGGAGCCTGCTTCAGATTCTGTGTCTTCCTCTCTCTCTGCCCCTTCCCCTGCTCATGCTTTCTCTGTCTCTCAAAAATAAATGTTTACCAAAAAAAAAAAAAAAAAAAAAAGGTTTGATTCCTAACAAAAGAACATGGCACTTCTGTAGTCTTTACAAAGGGATCAAGCCTCTGGATGCAGCTGCTCATTTGCAGAAGATACAGAGAACAGAGGAGCATGCTGAACTACACCATGAAATTGAAAATAGCAAAACATAATACTGAAAGAAACTACCAGCTAAATGGCCTGTAAATTTTAAGGAAAAGAGACGGAGGAGGAATATAAAGAATAAAACATACATAAACATAAAATTTTTTTTTAATGGAAGACTACCCTATATTAGTAGTTTAGGTAATGACTATAAAATTCAAGATAATGTCTATTGGTACATGGTGTTGTGGCTGGGCAGGAGCAGAAGAAGGGGTTCCTCGGACAAAGGCAAGGTTCTGGGAGGTGGCTGCAGGGGTGTCTGAGTAATACACTGTGCTGGACATATTTGTAAGGCTCTCTGCAGTGTGTCACAGAAGTTTCAGAATTCAGAAGAGTGATTAGGAATAAGATCTGTCAATAAGAATTAAAATGTAATGAAAACTTAATTATTATAACAGGAACCAGAGAATACTTAGGAATTAAGTTTTCTGAAATGCAAGAGCCCTATATGAAACAATTATAAAACTTTACTGAAGAATCTAAGAGACCTACATGTGGAAAGAGATTTCTTTCCCGGATAGATGTCTTTCCAAATGATCTTTACCATTACTGATATCACTGCTGTTCAGGAATACAAGAACACAGTACCTCACACACTGTCCTCTCTGGAGGATTCCTCTCCCAGGCACGTTCACTACAGAAATGTATGCACTTCACCAGAAACAAGCATGTAAGGGTGTTTCCTACAGCACTGTTGATGATGGTGGAACACTGCTACTAATGTCAATGACCGTAGTTAAGGAAACAGGTAAATACATAAAGGTACATAAGAGATGCCATATATTTGTGATGCCATTGGACTCCATGTCATGGAAATATGGTTATGACATAGTGACTGAAAAAAAAGTGAAGCTATACAACTGAACATATGCTTTAGTATTTTCTAAATATGGGATCAAAAGCACCCCCAAAAGGAAAGAATCTGTACAGGAGGGGGCTTGGGAGATACCCGAGTAGTAAACAGAAGACCCTTTCCATTCTCATAATGTGCCTCCGAACTGCTTGAAAATACACTTACAATTAACTCCAACAATAAAACCCAAGAACTTACAAGTTTCCAGTTAATAAACTTGAGAAAAAAACCAAACACCTCACTAGGCTGTACACATACCCCAGCTTTAATACTGAAGTATTAATACTTAATACTGAAGGAGCCTGATTTTGTCACTCACTGGCTAGGTAACCTGGGGCAAATACCTCATCCCTCAGCTGAGGCCAGAGTTTTCTCACCTAAGGAGGAGGACAAAACCTAATTACAGGTTTTGTGAGAATTGTAGGCAATATATCTGGGAAACAGGAAGTGGTCAATATATGGACATAATAAATACATGTTTCGTGACAAACCTTAAATTTTCAGGTAGTTCCTCCATTAAAACTGCAACATACAATGAAATGTTGACTGAAACAAACAAGTAAGCAAACAAGCACACACTGAAATGGTTTCAGACAATTATATCTTATATCTAAAATATAAACTTTAAGAGTATGATCACATGAATCTTACAAGGTATCATAACATCAATCTAACACTTTTATAAACAGCATTTATTGTACAGAGACTCTGAAGGAAGAAAAATATGTACAGCCATTCATTTTCTGTAATACATCTACTCTGTCCTGCAATACTGAAAAGGCGGAATGTGTCTGGCACAAAAATAACCCTAGGAGTCACGAATTAGAAAAACAACACTTTTAAAAAAGATTTTTACTTTTCTGGTAGAAATATAAAAACTGGTTTATGGGGAAGAAACTAAAAGAAAAAGTCCAATCAACTGCAGAGGTGGCTTTAACATTTGAAGTTCTGTACCTCATACCAACTTGTCAACAGCAGTATGTGTTTAAAATCTAAGTATAAATAAACAGGCAGCACAGCCCAAACAGCAGCACAGTATGAGCAACTCACATGACGCTGCAGTGTTCTCTGCGCAGAATACCACTTCCCAGCATCCCCACGGGGAATGCACGCCACAGAACCTCACCTGGTGCTGCAACCCACAGAACGTCCATCTTCTCACCAAGCTGGAACCCTCCACACCACCACCGTTTAAATGTACCAAAACTGATTTGTTTGTTTTAAAAAAAAAAAAAAGTGGGTGCGAAGGCAGGAGTACATAACAGCCATTATGTCGTCTTCCTGAAACCCTTTAGAATAGGGTAGATATTTTCAAATGCTTCATAAATTTCTGCTCTGACTTTAGCACCTATGAAAACAAGGCAGAGAAGAGTATGAAATGGTTGTTCTTAACATGTTTAAAAGGTAAAATTACTTTAAAACCACAAGCACAATTCTCTCCATACCCAGTCAGACTAACAGAGACAGACATTAAAACATTAACAAGGGAATCCCTTGACACAACCCTGTTTTTGTTTTTAAATCAGTATTTTCTTAAAATGGTTTTTTAACCACAAAAACAGATGATTCCAGCCTCCTGCTCTGGAGTTCACCACAAGTGACCAGTCTTAGTCCCTGTACCAGCCGGTGACCTGAGCAGCTCATGACCCAATCCAAGCAGAAGGAATGACCAAATCTTATTCTCCCACTTGCTGCTGTTGTCGCCAAATGACATTGATGAATCTCAAAGCTTTACGGGAGGATTTCCAACTTAAAATGCCCTCTCTTAAGCAAGGTAATGGCCATCTTCCCTGCTCTCACTCCCCTGGTGGGTATGTTTCTCATCAAAGTGTTAAGGGTAAGGAGAAGAAGACAGGGGCAAAGCTCAGTAGCCAAATGTCCCCATGCTGTGAAATTACTTCTCAGCACTGAGAAAATGCTGTTCTTGAAACTCTTTCAAATCTTTGGATATTACTTCCTGTTACAACTTACCTGTTAATACAACTTTTCCAGAAACAAAAATAAGAAGAACAATTCTGGGTTTGATCATTCTGTAGATTAAACCAGGAAATAACTCTGGCTCGTAACTGGAAGGAAAATGACAAAAACACTTTAGAAATTAAAAGCTGTCCGTGCTTTAGGTAAAATGTGGACCTGCACATGGAAAATACTGACTAAACCACAAACTCACTGGGAGGTCAACCCACAGGAAAGAGAACTTAAGGCCAGTGAGGGCAACCTGTCTTTGGCACCTGAAGACCAACGAACTCTATTTCTAGCGAGTCTGAATTTTCTGATGTCGTAGCAGCTTCACTTTCCCAGTTCAGATGGACCGAAAATAGTTACGATGTGTGTGATTAACCTACTGGGAAATGCAGGACAGGCTTCTCTAAGGAAGAGACACTTGTGTGGATATCTGAAATGTGAGTGGGGGTTTCTTAGCTGAAAAATGTAACAAGAAGGTGCCAAGTATAAAACTTGGACCGAATGCCCTGGTCCAAGAAGGGCGGGGCAAGTCTGAGGGGTGCTGGGAGCAGAGAGGCTGGAGAGATGGGCACTGGCCTTGCAGGTGGCACGGAAAAGAAGAGGAAATAATATTCAATGCACTCAAGTTTATACTTCGTTAGTAGAGCTCGTATAATGTGAACAAGAGAAATAATTCAAAGAACTGGGAACAAAAGTTGATATAAGACGTTGTGGATTTAATTCATGCATTTAAAATGCATGTATTGCTCAATAAATAACAAGGAATCAATTTCATCCCAGTCAAAGGGATTTGTAGATGTCAATAAGTAATATGGGAGGTAGGAGAATGGTGAGAAAAAGATATTTTCTGAGACATAAAGAAGAAACTTCAACATTAAATACATCTATCAGTACATCACTTGTTCTCACATACTGTTTTATAAATGTTTTATCATGAATAATGTTTACACAGATTACAAATGAATTGTTGCCAAAGGCAATCACAATACATTTTAGACTCACCTACTAAATTGTTGGTGGGTCAACACAAGGCCTTCTAACCTTATGGGGAATTTCACGTCACAGCTCCCCACCATGTTCTGAATCTTGAAGTCCAAAAACTTTGCTGGAAAACCTAACTTCTGTACAACTCTGGCATATTTTCTTGCTGCTAGTCGGGACTGTTCTTCACTAGGGAAAAGAATAAGTGAGACAGTCATAGTAAAAGCCACCTGAAATAATTATTCAAAATTCAAAATTACTGAATTCAAAATCCAATTCATCAAATTACTGATATGCCCAGATCTTTCAGATGTGAAGCATCGCATCATTACCGTTATTATTATTATTATTATTACTGTATTTTAGCTACAAATTCCTAAGGCGAAAATTAATAACTTCATTTTAATATGAAAATATTAGTAAGATTTAGACCTGAATAATGAATACTCTAATTCTATCTTCTTTTATATTAAATCTCCCTTTATCCATTCCTATAACTCATCTGTTGGATAAAACCATGGCTTAGTAATGTACAGCCTATGTAAGAAATGCAAAATAAAAGCAATACCATCACGAGCAAAAGACTCTAAAGTGCAAAGGTCAGGGATAACAAAAATTAAGCATACATACGTGAAATGCTTTTTTTTTTCTTGAGGAAAACAAATTTATTTGTGGTTTCCTATCTTGATAAAATAATCATGCAACTTAGATACACAATATTCAGTGTGTAGCAAATGGATAAAGACGGCTAAACAGTGAATGAAAAGCATGTCTAGGAAAGAAAATACCATCTAGCATTTACTGAGAAGTCAGAAGTTTTTGATGTTCCAACCAGGGGAAAACAAGCAAGACTCCTAAATGAAGATTTATGCGGAAGCTAGGGAGAGACCCACATCTGCCTTCTGAAAAAACTCAGAGATCAGGAACCACAATGTTCACAACCAATGGCCTTCCCTTCATTAAAGACAACTTCAGGGGTACCTGGGTGGCTCAGTTGGTTAAGCGTCCGACTTCAGCTCAAGTCATGATCTTGAAGTCATGATCTCACAGTTTCACAAGTTCAAGCCTCATGTCAGGCTCTGTGCTGACAGCTCGGAGCTTGGAACCTGCTTTGGATTCTGTGTCTCTCTAGCTCTCTGCCCCTCCCCCACTCTGTTTCTCTCTCTCAAAAAGAAACAAACATAAAAAAAAAAAAAGACAACTTCAAAGTTCAGAATAATCAAAAACATCTACAGCCCTCTCTGTGTGTGGACAACTCCAAGTCATATTAATTATCTTTTATTTTAAGAGCTTAATTTATTTATTCAAGCTTTAGGAAGCTGATGTTACTGTTACTAATCTTCCTGCAACCTTCTCCTACCAATTAGGTGGACTCTGTTAGACAAGGTTTAAAGTCAAGACCTTCTCAAAGAGCTAACCTTTACAGACAGGATCACTTCAAACAGAAGCAGAGTATAGGCAATAGCATTTTATGAAAGGGGTAGACATCTTAAGACCTAAATAACCCTAACCCTCATGATGAAGCCTATTTACAACAAGGGACAGCAGGCATCTGTGACCAAAACATGTGGTGCCGTCTACTGCCAGGACCAAGCAGATCTATACACTCTCATGCCATCAGCTCTGAAATTTTGTGACTCCTGACAATTTTTTTTCCATGGGAGGAATCTGTGTTATACATAAGATTTTTTACATAAAGGGACCTTAGTAATAGCTTGGATGTTACATTTTATCAAAAATACATAAAATGCAACTAAATAACCATGGTAATGTACAGTCAGGAGAATAAACTCCTTAAACCTACCTCTTGGCTCCTGTGCACACCATTTTCCCAGAACTGAATATTAGTGCAGTGGTTCGGGGCTCTCTTATTCTCATGATTACAGCAGCGAACCGCTAAAATGGTCAGAGACAATCGTTAATGAGGTCATGCCAGACTGATTTCCTTTAGGAGACTAGGGCAATGAACATCACAACTGGTGAGGAGGACCTGGTGTATAGAGAGTTCTCAAAATACCTGCATATGCTACTATGCATGGTTCTCTCACATCACCATGCAGCACACATGCTTTTCTTTGCACAGGGAGCAGAATAAACAGTGACTACGAGGTAAGTTGGACCAAGTTCTATGTATTCTTCCACACACATTGCAACAACAACTAATATCTGCAAAATTACATCCTTAATAAATACCAGTGCCTCTGTTTCTACCTTATATTTGCTAGCTTCTAGAACCGTAACTTAATTTTTTTTGGCAAATAGATTGATAAACTTTTTCTACCTCCAAGAAGGAGTAAATCAAAACACAAACATACCATTATGTTGTGAAGTGATCTTCTGTTTCCAATTGGCTTTTAGGAACAGTATTAACATATTAGCACATAAAATTGCAAATTAAGAAAAACATCAAAGTTTTAATTTTTAATCTCTACTTTTTAAGTTTTAACAATGTTTTTATTGCTAATATTGTAACTTGAGAAGATATTTCAGCCGTGGGTTGAATGGATGGCCTCCATTACAAGTTTAGATGATAAAAAGCAAAAATTTACTTGCAAATAACTCTAAAATTTTAATATCTGAGGATTACATAAGAAACTATTCATATATTTCTAATCAGGATGACTCTTTTAACTAAAATAGATTACTTTTGCAATTTTAGTTTTAAGACTGCTCTATGTACTCCTTCAGATTTTACCACCTTGCAAAAGCACAAGCACTACTTTCTAGTTCATACGAGTCCAGGAAAAGCCTAATTTTGCATTTCTTAAATTCCCTCTACTGGTTTTATTGATCAAATAATATCATTTCATTAGAGACTATAACATTGTAAAATTATGTATTGAAAATAAATAATAGATAAATTATTAATTATTATAATATGTAATTATATAATCATTACAATAATAATATATAATATAATAATTAATTATATTAATGAATATAACACATTGTATACTGGCTTACACAGTGCATAAATGGTTACTTCCAGATCTTAGATACCTTGGGATCTTAGACAAATACTTAAACAATGTTTACTATTTAGATAATTTCTTAAGATAAAGATTAAAACCTGGTCAATAAACAGTTTTTATTTAGCCTTTACTTTCATTTTTATACACTATATAAGAGCCATTCAAGTGCTTGGTGGAAGGACAATGGAGATATACAAGTTGATTTTACCACTGTAAACAATTAAAAAAGGGATATATGACGTGTACCAATGGAGAGCAAGACATTTCCTGGTTATCTGCCTGCTAGTTTTCCTTGTAGGACACAACATTGGATCGCTTTGGCTAAAAACAGTAACTAATAGAAATGGTTAAGGCTATACCAGGCACAACAGATAATACATATACACTGTATCTTCTTATTAAGGAAATTGTTACAGTTTATTAACATCACAAATTCAACATTAGATATGCGCTGTCTAACTTAACATACTATATTACATTTCAAAGTCAAAGGTAAAAGGACTTCAATGATGAAAGAAGTTCAACAGTTCTGGCTTTTCCTTTTTCTTTCTTTCTTAAATTCTCACTCTAAATTAAAAAAAAAAAACAAGAACTGTTTTTACACTGAAGTGTCTTTGTGGTTTCCTAAATGGTCACTGGGTAACCATAAAGATTTAGTCTCTTACTATAAAAAGAAGGGGTTCTCGGGGCGCCTGGGTGGCTCAGTCGGTTGAGCGTCCAACTTCAGCTCAGGTCATGATCTCGTGGTTCGTGGGTTCGATCCCTGTGTCGGGCTCTGTGCTGACAGCTCTGAGCCTGGAGCCTCTCTTTGGATTCTGTGTCTCCCTCTTTCTCCGACCCGGGCCCCTGCTCACCCAGTCTCTCTCTCTCAAAAATAAAGAAAACATTAAAAGAAAAAAAAAAAGCACCACATATTTAAAAAAAATAAACATAAAATAGAAAGAAGGGGTTCTAAAATAATTAGCCATGTTTGATGTTCTCCATATTTTAATTAGGTCAATCAAGCAGACCAAAAAGCCTCAATAACTAAAGGAGCCATTTTATTTCTTAGCCAGTTATTACAGCAACTTTTATTTTGGATATTCTATGTAGGCTACATCTTCTTCACTTGTACATAAAAGACTAAGATTTATTTTTTTATTGTTTAAAAATTTTTTTAAATTTATTTTTGAGAGAGACAGAGCATGAACAGGAACAGGGCAGAGAGAGAGGTAGACACAGAATCCAAAGTAGGCTCCAGGCTCCAAGCTGTCAGCACAGAGCACGATGCGGAGGCTCAAACCCACAAACTGCGAGATCATGACCTGAGCCGAAGTTGGTGGCTCAACCGGCTGAGCCACCCAGGCGCCCCAAGACCAAGATTTAGAAAACTCATTCCAAGACCATCACTTAACATTTTTCTCAACGTACAGCTAATAGATATTTAACCAACTTACCTGTTCTAGCTGACAAACATACCCCTACACTTCTATAAAATTATTCTTTCTGCTTTCTATATAACTGTTAACTACTACTCCAATCTAAACCCAACTACTTTCCTTTCCTTAAAAAAAAGTATTTTAGTAAATTATCAAAATAAATCTAAACCTACTTCATTCTGTTTTGCTCTGATGATACATCCTAGAATGAGTCATTCAATAATGACTCATATTTAAAATAATCAAGGTATACTTTACATTGGCAGAATGTAACTTACAAATATTGTTATAAAATATATTGTTATAAAAGCTCATTCTACTAAAATAGTTATCTTACTAGAGGTTCATGAGTAAATATTAATAATCAATAAGATTTGGGTTTACGTCATTATCTATTTTCTTTGGTTATCTCCAATTAAAACATTAAAAATTAATTAAGGACTTATCAGAGAAATCAGACTTATGAAGGAAATATCAAATGTAAGACTACAGATCACACTAAAGAAAGTGGCTTCTCTAACTCACGCGAACAGCAGTTCTTACTAGGTTTAGCTGCCAGTGACGACACAATGATATATATAATTTTTCTGGTTGAGGAGGGGGGCAGAAACTTTGTCATTGTCTTTTTCTTTATTTAAATATCTCAAAATAGTTTGGTGTCACTCAAAGTTATCTTCAAATATTAATACTTATGCATGTGCACACACCCAAAAAGCCACACTAAAAAAAAAGACAAATATGTACATTGATTCAAATTTTACAAAAATATTGGGGATATTCAACTTGAAAAGTTCAAAAGGCTGCTGAGAAATGCCATATCTTCAGTTCTTATGTAATAGAGGGCAAACCCCTGAACTCCCTCTTAGATTTGATTTAGTGCCCATTCCAAAGTTTAGATATGTTGGTTAAGGGTATGTACATAGTTCTCCTGTTGACTGAGGTTTTCCTATGTTAAAAGGCAAGTGCTAAAACAGTCCAAGTCTCCAAAAAGAGTTTTATTTTCCTTCGACTGAAATCCTAGCCCTAAATGACACGGTGAGTTACACCTGAAAATCCCTGTAAATTCTCAACCGGTTACACTGTTCCTGAAAGACCTATGAAATCTGGCCTGGTTCCCACTAACTGTCCCAACCTTGTTATATTCTGGTCTTGTCAAAAACAGGTTTCCCCTGCTACTGGAAAGTAGAATGTTCCTGTGAAACCTTTTGTAAGCCAAAATGGAGTCAAGTGAGGAACAATGACCATTTTATTAAAGCAAAAATTCTCTTCAGATTCCTTTCCATTAGCAAAAACAGGTACTAATGTAGGTCTATAATGAAAGCAAAGAAACTTAATGCAGACTTTTGGATAACATGGGAAGCCTGTACTTGCCAAACCAATGTCGTATACATAGTCATATGCCCCATTATGGGTAAGCTACATTTCTGAAGAAAACATCACTGCACACATCTCTATGGGATATACAGGCAGCAGACAGAAACATACATCAGTGGAAGTCAACTTGAAACTGCACAGAAGAAAGCGCTTGAGACTCTAACATATTCTCAAGCACCATGATTAGACGCACAGATACCTTCCCTAGTTTGCATATATTCAGAATCCAACTGGACATGGGATCTGCCTGAAGATTGACCCCAAATCTACTAAAAGGCCTCCAGAAAATAATGATTCTTGAAAATACAGCTTCCTGACCAGGAGTTCCTGAACTAAAACAGAAGTTTCTGGATTGCGGCTCAAACAACAAATGAAACAGCTCACCTAACAAAGTATCATAAATTCACTGGCTAAAACAGAGCCAGATAATAAAAGCGTCCTCAACTATTTATTGGCCAGCCAAGTAGTATTGGTACAAATGCTAACAAGTGGTATAAATACTTGGGGGGAGCAGAGAGGCACAGAACAGAACAATCGATCAGTTGAGAAAAAAGACTTTGTTCCTAAAATTGACCAAGCTGATTCCTGGGACTTAATTCTGCTGATTAGGTGTAAGTAAGCTAAAAAATACTGGATCTATGAAGTGAATTTCATTTACTTCTTATGATACTTCACCACTGTCTAATATCCAAGTGCTTAAATGCTGCTACTTGGCCACTATTTCAAGATGACATTCAAATAATGACACCATGTAAGAAAAGGAGTCAAACTGACATAGGCAACCTAGACTGGGAGTGTCACCAAAGGGAGAACATGGGAGACATCAGCAAAGGATATGGTGCTACCCTGGCAAAACTGACCCAGATAGCCTGTCAAATAGAATACTCAGTTAAATTCTCAAGTTTGCCCTTCTACCTTCTCTTTTCTCTCTTTTTCCTTTGTTAAATGAAACCAATTTAATATTGGTTCCCCATGTATAAAAGTCAAGAGCATGCTAATAGATTCTCCCACTTTAGGGGAGCTGTCTTCTACAGGGACCTGGCCCAGAGCTCTTCAATCTGATCATCTTCTACACTCAGAGGCCTGGTCTGTATGGTCCTTGAAGAATGTCCATCCGTTTGTGAATGCAAATATTTACTATTCTTTTAAAAAACCAGCTTATCTACCAATGCAGAGACAAAAGCCTTACCGTGTACTCAGGTTGCTTATGTTAATATAAAAAATATCAAAAGTATTTTTACCCCATAATATTTTTATGATAAGATGTTTAAAAGTTATACATAGAAAAATATAATAAACCCCCTGTAGTTATTACTCAACCCTGGCAATTATTAACTTCTGGCCAATCTTGTTGTGCCCTTCCCATGTGCTCTTCCCCAATTCTCCAACTGTTTAATTTGAAGTAAAGTCCAGAGAGTATATCGTTCCATTCTACACAGTTTTCAAAACATAAATGGAATCATACCACATATTTTGCTCTTAACCAACTGAGCCACCCAGGCGCCCCATCCACATAGTTTCTTCTTACATGTCACAAGAACCCCATCACAATGGGTAAATAAATCTGGTAGTTTATCTTGTAGACTGCTGTGATTCTAGGGTCTCTCACATGGTAGCTATTCAATAAAAAACATTATACATTTTTCTTTAATTCCTCATTTTGTTGGTGTCAACAAACTCAAGCATAACACAAACATTTTGGTTTTGGTATTATTATAGGTTGAAATACATTATAATTGCTCTGACCTTGGGGTTATATTCAGCATTTCGGGCACGAAGTGCAATGGTCTTTAGGTCAAGCTTACAGCCAAGATTCACTGTAGATACAATATTTCTGCAAGAAATTTGAAAGGAAAGCATGATCATTGAACTTTTACATGATGAGGCGTTATCTAGAAACCTGATTCTTTACATCAAATTAGTTTAAACCAATTTAAGTTTTATTTATTTGTTTAAAGTTTTATTTATTTCTGAGCGAGAAAGAGAGAGAGCGTGAGCAAGGGAGAGTAAGAGAGAGAGGGAGATACAGAATCCAAAACAGGCTCCAGGCTCTGAGGTAGCTGTCAGCAGAGCCCGACGCGGGGCTCAAACCCACGAACTGTGAGATCATGACCTGAGCCGAAGTCAGATGCTTAACCGACTGAGCCACCCAGGCGCTCCTAAACCAATTTAATTTTTAAATTAAAAAAATTTTTACATTGTTGACATTTATGGTCTTTACCACACACCATGGTACGCATTTTACATGGGTGATCCCACTTAATACAATGCACTATGAAATAATAACTTAATATTCACATTTTTAGATGAAGAAGCAGAGGCTTAAATGGATGGTTAACTTGCTCCAGATAAACATGGCTCTAAGTGGTAGCCAGGCTTTTGGTCCATCTATCTCTAGCGTCATGCTTTAGCCTTCTGAATGAAGCCCTTATTTATCCTCTGAATGACACGAATTGCCCATAAACCATCATGCATGGGCAAGGGACATCACTGTCCTGTGAATGCTGATTCCAGACTGTAAATACCTCTCCAATTGTTTCCAGCTCATTGCTGCTTTTGGTTCCTGTCCTGCCAAAATGCAATACTTTGAAAACTTGATGGCTCACAAGTCAGTTGGATATAAGAAAGAGAATAGCTGTGTTCTTTTACAGACAATTGTAAGGCTAATTAGAATGATCAACCCAAGGGGCACCTGCATGGCTCAGTCAGTTAAGCGTCTGAGTCTTGATTTCGGCCCAGGTCATGGTCTCGAGTAATGTGAGATCAAGCACAGCACGGGGCCTCTGTGCTGACAGCACAGACCCTGCTTGGAATTCCCTCTTGCTCAAAAAATAAACAAACATTAAAAAAAAAAAAAAATGATCGACCCAATTAATGTTTTCATTTCTACTTCATCTATTTCCTTCCAAATAATTTTCTATACATACCTGCCTTTAGCATTTCTTTACTTAAGTCACAGATTTGCTACATGTATTCTTTTCTCTTTTTAACCAACAGTGCATAAGGGTTCAAATTTCTCCATATCCCCATCATTGGTTATATTGGTTTTGATAATAGCCATCCTAATGGGTATGAGGTGGTATCTCATTATAGTTTTGATTTGCATTTACATGTTTAGTGATGTTGAGCATCCTTTCATATGCTTATTGGCTATTTGTGTATTTTCTTTGGGGAAATGTCTATTCAAGTCCTTTGCCCATTTTTGGAATCGGACTCTTTGTTTTTGTTGTTGAGTTTTAGTAGTTCTCCAAACATTCAGATAATAATCCTTTATCAGATGCATACTTCGCAAGCATTTTTTCCCACCCTGTTGGTTGCATTTTTACTCTGTGAACAGTGTCTTCTGATACACAAGTTTTTTCTTAAAAAAAATTTTTTATAAGTTTTAAAATTGCTATCTAGTCCACTTTATCTATTTTTTCTGTTATTACCTGTGCCTTTGGTGTCACATGTGAGAAAACATTGCCAAGTCCAATGTCACAAAGCTTTTGTCCTATATTTTCTTCACTGAGTTATATTGTTTTAGGTCTTATACTTAGGTTGATGTACTTTAATTTTTTATTTGATGTTAGCTAAGGGTCCAACTTTCACCATTAGCTAAAAGGACTATCTTGTCTCCGTTGAACAGTCATGGTCCCCTTGACAAAAATCATTTGACCATATATACAAGAGTTATTTCTGGGTTCTCTGTCTTACTGCATTGGTTTATATATATGTCTGCGTTTATGCCAATACCACAGTAACTTTGTAATAAGTTCTGAAATCAGGAAGTGAGAGTCTTCTGGTTTGCACTTCTTTTCTAGGATTGCTTTTGGCTATTCACAGTTCCTCGGGATTCCATATAAATTTTAGCATGAATTTTTCTACTTCTGCAAAAAATATCATTGGAATTTTTGATAGGGATTACACTGAGTCTGTAGATCGTTTGGGGTAATATTGAAATTTTGGCAATATTAAATCTCCTAATCTAGGAACCTGAGATGTGTTTCCACTTGTTCGTGTTTTCTTTAAAGTTCTTTCAGCAATGTTTTATAGTTCTCATCATACGTCTTTCACATCCTTGGTTAATTCCTAAGTACAGCAAAACCTTGGTTTGTGAGGATAATTCAATCTAGAAACATGTATGTAATCCAAAGCACTTGTATATCAAACCGAATTTCAAGAACCACTGGCTAGGTTGTGATCATGTGACATTCAGCATCACATACTACTCATATTCCAAGACATCGCTTATCAAGTTAAATTTATTAGAAATGTTTGCTTATCTTGCGCAACTCTCACAGAACAAGTCACTCACAATTCAAGGTTTTATTGTGTTTTATACTTTTTGATCATGTTGTTAATAGAATTGTTTTTGTAATTTCCTTTTCAAAAAAAAGTTTTAATGTTTATTTATTTTTGAGAGAGACAGAATGTGAGCAGGGGAGGGACACAGAGAGAAAGGGAGACACACAATCCAAAGTGGGCCCCTGGCTCTGAGCTGTCAGCACAGAGGCCAACACGGGGCTCAGACCCACTAACCGTGAGATCATGACCTGAGCCGAAGTCAGACACATAACCCACTGAGCCAACCAGGCACCCCTGTAATTTCCTTTTCATACTGTTCACTGTTTGTATACAGAAATGCAACTGATTTCAACTGTTAACTTTGTATCCTGCTACTTTGCTAAAAAAATTCACTTTTTGTACCTAACGGGTTTTTTTTAGTGGACTCTACGATTTTCCACGTATAAGATCATACAGAGATAATTTTACCTCTTCTTTTCTACTCTAGATACCCTTTATTTGTCTTGCTCTGGTACTATGTTGAATAGAAATGGAAAAGGAGGTTGTCCCTACCTTGTTCCTCATCTGAGGAGGAAAAGCATTAAATCTTTCAACATTAAGTATTAGGCTTGTTATGGTTTTTTAAATATGGCTTTTACTATGTTAAGTCAGTTCCCATCTTTTCCATTTTGTTGAGTGTTCTTACCATGAAAGGGTGTTGAATTTTGTCGATTCTTTTTCTGCATCAATTGAGATATCAGTTTTCTTTTCATTTTACTGTTGTGGTATATTATGGTGGTTGATTTAAGTTTCTTTACTTTGAGTGAGTGAGAGAGACAGAGCATGAGCAAGGGAGGGGCAGAAGAGAGTGAGAAAGAAGATCTCAAGAAGGGTCCATGCTGTCAATGCAGAGCCCAATGAGGGGCTCGAACCCACAGTGAGATCATGACCTGGGCCAAAATTGAACTGAACTCTTAACTGACTGAGCCACCCAGCCAACCCCAGTGGTTGATTTTTGTATGTTGACCTACTCTTGCATTCTAAGAATAAATCCCACTTGTCATGGTGTATAATCTTTTAATATGCTGCTTACCGACGTTTCGTAGTATTTTTTTTGAGGATTTTTGCATCAGTGATCAATGCGATACTGGTCTGTAGATTTTTTTAGTGTCTTTGGCTTTGGTGTCAGCATACTGCTGGACTCATCAAAGGAGTTAAAAAGCGTTCCCTCAATTTTTTGGAAAAGTTTGAAAAGGACTGGTATTAGTTCTTTAAATGTCTGGTAGAGTTCACCGAAGCCATTTGGTCCAGGGCTTTTCTTGGTTCTCCCACCTCCCCAGAATCTGTCTTAAAAATGTATGATACTTTTTTATTCATTAACCTAAATAATCTATACACCCAACGTGGTGATCAAACTCACAACCCCAAGACCAAGAGTCGCATGCTCTTCCAACTGAGCCAGCCAAGCGACCCTTAAAAATGTATTCTTATATATTTTCATTAATTATATATCCCAAGTCTTCATAAGCTTGTAAGATTTAGAGGCCACTGAAGTCCCAACCTAGCAGGGCTCTTAATGGATATGGGAACTCAGTAATGTGTCTGACTAGATGCTTTGTGGAATACCAGAAAGGTTAAGGTGCCAGGTGTAACAAAAGCCCCATCACAACTGGTTATAACTTATGATTTAAACAAGAGGTAAAAACTTAAATGACCAAAAAAGCCAAACCAGCATGCAGGACAACAGGGAGTGGTGCTGACAAAGGTGAACTAACAAGTGATTATCTCTCCAAATCATTAGAATGAAAATTATCTGATTTTTAAAATCACGTAAGATCAAAGATCTGAGGCAAGATTTAGGTAACAGGATCTACGATGAAAGATTACTTAGTTATAAAAATGTTCAGGGGCACCTGGGTGGCTCAGTTGGTTACGCGTCCGACTTTGGCTCAGGTCATGATCTCACAGCTCGTGGGTCCGGGCCCCGCGTTGGGCTCTGTGCTGACGGCCAGCTCGGAGCCTGGAACCTGTTTCGGATTCTGTGCCTCCCTCTCTCTCTGACCCTCCCCTGCTCACGCTGTCTCTCTCTCAGAAATAAATAAAACTTTTAAAAAATAAATAAATAAAACATAAAAAATTTTTAAAAAGAAGAGAATATTCTCATTAAAAATGTCCAGAGATGGCTGGTGAAATAATTATTGCAAATGAACCTTCAATTTGGCCATAAGTTTGCTAAAAGCAAAAGCTATGTACTTCACAATGATAGATACAAGAGAATATTTGTATGTTTTTCAGGATTTTTTTCCTATCTCCACCCTGCCGTTCAATTCACATATAGGACCCATTTCATTTATACAGAAAAACCCACTGAGGGCAAGAACAGACATTCTCAGCTTAAGGAAAGGACACAGCTCTCGAAAGAGTTACATGGAGCCCTTATAATAACCAATGAAGACAAACAAGGACTATTATGAACTAAGTAACTAATCTTCCCTTCCCAAAGACTGAAAACAAAGACTGAAAGCATCAAAGGGAAGGAGACTACATAAGGCTTGATTCAGCAAATCAGCTGTAGGGAAATGTCTATAATAACAATTTGGTAGCTTGGCCCAAATACATAAACACGAGCTACTCAATATGTGACGATGTTATGAGAGCCTTTTACTAAGAGGACTGACTCCCTAAGGCAACTTAGCATCCCTTTCTCCTCTGAGAGGTAGAGAAAGAGCAAACTTAGACATATGATTACTGCTAGTGGCACACCCTCAATAACTCAATCCATCTGAAAACAAAGAAACAGAGCACCCGCCCCAAAGGTCCCTTCCAGGCTGAGGGAGAAGACACACACAAAGTACTCACTGCAGCTGTGGCACGATCCCAGAGCTCTCAGAGGCTGGCGTGGCAGGGGTAATAGGGGTCATGGGGGTCATGGGGGAGGGATACAGGGGAGTGGTGCCTGGCAAAGGTGCAGTGGTAAGAGTCTGTGAGTGGAAGAGCTGTGGTGTCTGGCCCGAGGCCCCCTGTGTTGCCTGCTGGGATGCTGACTGCTGAACTGCCGCCACCGCCTGCTGCTGCTGCTGCTGCTGCTGCGCCTGCTGCTGCGCCTGCTGCTGCTGCGCCTGCTGCTGTGCTTGTGCCTGCTGCTGCTGCTGCTGCTGCCTTTGCTGCTCCTCCAAGATTGACAGACTGTTGGTATTCTGAATAGGCTGTGGAGTCAGTCCTGTGCCATAGGGCATCATTGGACTGAAGATAGGGATTCCAGGAGTCATGGCACCCTGTGGAAAGTCAGGAGGAGAGCATGTCAGGCCAGCTGGTATCGAGGGTTTCCAGCACTCCTCTGGTAGAAGAGGAGGTGAGATGTACAAAGATGAGATGCCTTACGAATATAAATGGGATTATGATGCATAACAGAAAGGCATTTGCTGTCCTTAAACACATCACTTTCTTCTTCACCATAACAGGTAGGTAAGAGCTTAGTTATAATTATACCTGGGTGTGAAACCCAATCCTGCCACTTATTACATGTGAAAACTCAAGGAAGTTGCTTAACCCTTCAGGCACATCTACAGGAAAACAATGTTCTAATACTGTTAGAAAGTATAAAGGACATAACTGGAGTGACTGCACATGCAGGTTTAAACTATTAGCCTACCACACTACCTGGGTAGTTCCCCATTTCACTCTCAATGTATCTGTCCAAGTTTGGCTAATAAATTATATGGTTACCCCAGATATGCCACTGAACTCATTCAACATGATGACAGGCACGCAGAAGATACTGAAATGTTAGCAACAGTAATGACAACGATTATTAGAATACTATTCAAAAAGATGGATCATTTGCTCTCCAAAAAGTTTAAATCAAGAAAATCCGATGCATCTATCAGGATAATATCCATTTACTTTTCTGAATGCCTCTTAACTTCCAGACACTGTCACATTTATTAATTTATGAGTCTCACAACAACTCTTTGGGAAAGGAAAAACTCGATGCTCTTCTCATATTAAGGACACCAGAAGAAGCTAAAGAACTTCCCCAAGACCACAGGTCTCACTGGCAGAGAAGCCACAATGACAGCCAAGTTTCTCTGAGACCCAGGCCAATCCCTTGCCCAGCACCAACCCCACAGAGCCCACGGAGCCTGCAGAGCTTGCAGTGACTTTGTGAACCTCTTAAAAGTATACCCAATATTTCTGCATCAAGCTATCCACAGTTTTCACCAGATTCTCAAATGCATGCAAGATCCAAAAGAGAGCCACAATCCTTTCCTACTTCCACCACTTTAACTGGCAGAAAGCATAAACCAAAACTGTCTAAGCTTTATGTTAATCTGTTTCATCAACACAGTGGCAGAAAGAGTATGAGAGGAGGAGGATCAAACATATACTGCAGCCCTAATAGTAGAGGTACGATCCTCCTACATCGATTGCTTACCTCTATAAAATACTGGCTAGAAAAATTTCAGGTTATGTTACTTTAAGAAAAATGAAGTTTTGAAAGGTCTGCCTTTCATGTCACACACAGAAATGAACTCAAAATGGATTACAAGCATACATGTAAATGCTAAAACTTTATTATAAGAGAAAATCCTTAAGACTTAGGGTAAACGAAGATTTCTTAAGACACAAAAGCACTAACGATGAAATAAAACTGATAACTGGACTTTGGAAAAAAATTAAGACCTTCTACTCTTTGAAAGGCATCATTAAGAAAATTAAAAAGTAAGCTGCACCACAGACTGACAGAAAATATCTATAATACCTACATCTCAGAAAGGACTTGTATCCAGAATACATAAAGAGCAACTACAATTCAGTAAAAGATAGACAAAAAGCCAATAAATAAATGGGCAAAAGATGTGAAGGACATTCTACAAATGAAAATAATGCAACTGGCCAATAAGCACTTGACAGGATGCTCAGGATTGTTAGTCATCAGGACAATGCAAACTAAAATCACAAAGAAATAGTACTAAGCAACCACTAGAATGGCTAAAAGTTAAAACCTCGAGTGCTAGTGAGGATGAGGAACCAGAACTCTCATATGCTGCTGGTGGGACTAGAGAATGGTTCAGCAGTTTCTTATAAAGTGAAACATACACTTATCATAGACCTAGCAATCCCACTCATTAAGTATTTACCCAAGAGAGATAGAAACAGTTTACACAAAGCCTGTTCGTAAATGTTTGCAGCAACTTTATTCATAGTAGCCGCAACCTGAAAACGCCCATAATGTCAGCAAGTGGAGAGGAGATACACAAAATGTGGCCCATCCATACAGCTGAGTACTACCCTGCAATAAAAAGGAGTCTGCTGATACACAAATGTCATATTGGGCAAAGAAGAGATACACACACACAGAAAAGCACATACTGATATGATTCCATTTGTATGAAATTCTAGGCTAGGCAGAACCTTTAGCTCTGATCAGCAGAGCAGTTGTATACACACAGGTGTATACAATTACCAAAACACACTTAAAATGGGTGTTTCTATCATAATAAATTATTAAAAAGTAGATATGTTATTTGGAACCTTAAACATAAAAAAGAAATACTAAAAACAGAAAATAATTTGGTGCAAGTTACTTTCAAAATCAAAGACCTGATAATCACATGGAACGCTTTCATAAACATTTATCAAAAGATTAAGATTTATAGACAAATACATTTTAACTCCCAAATAAACTCCCCAAATTTAACACTATCATGTCTACTCAAAGCCTAATACAACATCTCAACAAAATAAGACAGGCTTAAAAACATATAAATCAATTTTCAACAACAGACGGTTAAATTCCCTTCTTTCCTTTTTCTCTAACAATGTAGATTCTGTCCCACCTACACCCTCCCTCCAGCTGTATTACCTGAGGGGAGGCCAGGCCCTGAGCATAAGGTGGCAGGCTGTTGTTCTGATCCATGATGTTCACTTTCTTCTGGGTAAATCAAACACCTTTGGACTGGAACTCGCCTCGGCATTCAGTCTCCTCCTAGAGCATCCCCGGAACACACTTCTTAGCAATTTTCTCAACTGCTTGCGTTGTTTTCATGCACACCAAGAAACAGTAATGCCACTTTGAAAGAAGTTTGAAGTTTAATGTAAGAATACAAGCAAGCTGTAGAGCCTTCTATAAACCAGTTCATAATTACACAAAAAAAAAAACTAGAAAAAAAGCAATGCAGCTATTTTGGAATATATTTTTTTAACCTTACAATGCTGAAATCTTATTCCTTGCCATGTTTATGGTAACTGCATGCAAAACTGCCACTAGAACAAAGTGCTTTATTACATGTTTAATTTAAATCCTTTAGGATGTTCAGGGGCACTTGAGTGGCTCAGTCCGACTTTCGCTCAGGTCATGATCTCACCATTTGGGAGTTTGAGTCCCATTAGGGGTTCTGTGCTGACAGCTCAGAGCCTGAAGCCTGCTTCAGACTCTGATTCCCTCACTCTCTGACCCCCCCCAACACCCACACTCTGTCTCTCCCTGTCTCTCAAAAAATAAATGTTAAAAAAATTTAATACTTAGAATGTTCAAAATTAAGGTGTCATAATCAATATTAAAAACTTTTGGGAAAAACACTCAGAGAAAACAAATTCCTAAGGAAACTGTCATATCTGAGTAGGAATATTTATTTTTATTTAATTAAAAAAATTTTTTTTTAAATTTATGAGAGACAGCATGAGCAGGGGAGGGTCAGAGAGATAGGGAGACACAGAATCTGAAACAGGCTCCCGGCTGAGCTAGCTGTTAGCACAGAACCCGATGCGGGGCTTGAACCCATAAACCGTGAGATCATGACCTGAGCCAAATTCGGACACTTAACTGACTGAGCCACCCAGGCGGCCCGTACTTAATTTTTTTAATGTTTATTTATTTTTGAAAGAGAGAGAGACAGAACATGAGTGGAAGAGGGGTAGACAGAGAGAGGGAGACACAGAATCTGAAGCAGGCTCCAAGCTCTGAGCTGTCAGCACAGAGCCCAATGTGGGGCTCAAATTCACGAACCACAAGATCATGAGCTGAGCTGAAGTCAGACGCTTAACCGCCTGAGCCACCCAGGTGCCCCTGAGTAGAAATATTAAGCACTGTATACAGAGTGCTATTAGGCCAAGGTGAGGTTTTTAAATAATCCAGTCAGTTTCATATCCTCCACGTCTTAGGTGTTAAATTCAATAAACACTGAATTGGATCCAATATACTTTAGAGTGATCATTTATTGATCTACTGATTTATTTTTTTAAAAAATACTGCTCCATTCTTGCCTTGTTTTATTCTTTTTTAGGTTTATTTATTTATTTGTGGGGGAGGTGGGCAGAGGGAGAGAATCCTAAGCAGGCTCTGCACCGCCAGCACAGAGCCAAACATGGGGCTCAAACCCAAACCATGAGATTAAGACCTGAGCCAAAGTTGGACACTTAACTGACTGAGCCACCCAGGTGCCCCAATCTACTAACTTAATAGGACACTGTGATAGAAGCTTTACAGACACAAAAATAAGTAAGTTTTTATACATGCAGTAACTTGACCTCTTTAGAACACATAAAGGACAAACTGTGCCCCTGTCTAGCCTTCCTTAAGGCATCATCTCTTTACACTTTTTAAATTTCTTTTAGACAAAAGAACCAAGTCCTGAAAGACCTTTTGTTGAGTTTAGTTCAGACAGATCCTTAACTTGATTCGGGTTGCTCTAAGAACTAATTGTGCTAAAAAGGACTGGCTCATTAACATATCAAGAAAAGCATCTAGTTATCACTTAGTAAGCAGAAGACAAATGTTAGCTTTATTAGATTTCAGTTTAAACATTATCATCTAAGAAGATATTGGAACACATAGAACCTGCTGGTCTCAAAGTTACAAATTATGTATCAAAGACACACGAGCTTCAAACATGTACTGATACAAAGTAAGCACTCAGATATTTGTTGAATGAATGAATCAATCACTTTGATAGGACAAAGGACCAAAGACTATATATCCTACATACTCATCAATGAAAAAGAAAAAACAAAAAAAAACCTCTTCTTCAGAAAATGTCAGATGCAAGAAAATTCTATTTTTTATTATCCTATAATAACAAAAGAAGTGATGCAAATATGAAGAGGATATAGTCATTAGCATCTAAGAGTTCCTGTGAAGGGTATACAAATAATCACTGCAAAACTTAAGTGCTATAATAGAGGTGTACTACTATGCCACGTTCCTGGAGTGCAGAATCTAGCAAATGTTCTTGCACCATGGCTGGTATACAGTATTGAATCAGAATAAATGCATACATGCTATGGATGAGAAGACACAGTCACTGTCAAGTGTCCTGAAGGGGAATATTTTCACAAAGCATGGATCATTGGACTTGGGTCTAGCAAGGTAAACAGGAATTTACAAATCAGCACTGCAGGCAAAAGACCAAGCACATGGAGAGAAAGAGTGAAAAAGCATGCAGTATGAAAGCGAAAAGCTTAGGAGAGGACATAGCAAATATAAGTGGGATCACATTGTCTATCAGCTTTACACATTATATAGGCAAAAGAGCAGGAACAAGATTTTGAAGTGCAGCACGAGCAGCTCTACTTTGGCAAGAGTGTGGATGAATTCGAAGAGATAAAACTGGAGGCTGGAAATAATGAGAAGGATTTAAAGCACTCATAAACATGACAAGATGTTTCTCCAAAACTGGTGACTCCAGACCCCTTTTGCAAATTCAGTCTACATACAGAAGAAATCTGTGGCACTAGGTGGGTTGGGGCCTGCTGTTACGATTGGTCAGAGGTCATCCCTCACTCCCAGTGATGGCATCATTTTTCCTCACTTCATCATTAAAACCACCAGTTATTACTTCTCACTTATCCTTTGAAAAGGATACTAACTCATCCTTTGAAAAGAAAGTTATTTGCAGGGTGTGTTCATTTGGGAATAGAGGCATCAAATTTGATCTTTTAAAAGGCAATCACAGATCAGGGAAGAGAATCAATTAATTCTGCACAGCCTCCCAGTGTCTGCATAAACCAATCAAGCATATTATTTTATACACAGAAGCTTACCTAGAATTTTAAATTAGAAAAGCACACTGCCTAGCGGCCAGACAGCTAGGCCTTGTAAACCAAGTGCTGTGTATTTACGGCTTACGCTCTATCGTGCCAGGAATCTCTGGCCTCTGACAAAACGTTAAAGTCTCAAGCGCAACTTTATAATAAAGCCACCCTTGCGGGCAGCAAAGTGGGGGGACACAGGCCAGGTTGAACCTGCCCTCCAACATCAACAAGGAGAAAGGGATGGCAGGACAGGAAGACTCCGGGTCGCGGAGGTGCCGCACTGCTCTCTCCCGGGCCCTTCCGGAGCCCCGCACCCCACGCTCGCACGATGGAAAGCCGCTGCTACAGCACGACAGATGGGGGCAGCGGGCGCGACAGGAGGCCGGGGCGGGTGGGCGGCCGGTACAGGCCGGGGCAGCGTCGGCACGAGCGGGAGGAGCGTCCCCCGCGCGGCCTGCGCGCCCGCTCAGCGTCTCCGTCACCCTCGCCCAGGGCCTCGCGGCAGGGGTCGCCTCTGCACCAATCCTCAGAGAAGAGGAAATGCTAAAAAGGCTGTTACCTGGAGTCCCTGCAGAGACCACTGCGGGGTCGCGCAAACGAAGTTAAGCCGCAGGCGGCCCAGGCGCCCGCCACGGCGCCCCTTCCCGACCCTACTAAACTTCTGGCGCGCGTTGATAATGTCACTTCCGCCAGCTATTCCACCCTTGGCTTCAGCCGACTACGCACCCTAGAGCGGCGGCCATGCGAAGTGTGGGCATTGTGTCACTTCCGGTGTTTCCGGAACAGTTCCGCCGGGTACTTGGCTTAAAGGAAAGAAGAGGCGGGCGGAGCTCAGAGGAGTTCCGGGGGTAAGCCGCCTGGCCAGGGCCTTTTCTAATTGGCCCTTGCCGCGGGGAGGCAAGGTAATGATTTTTCAAATGTTGACTATTTTAAACAGTCTAGCGGTGTGACCTTTGGCAAGTTACCTGACCTCTGCGTCTCAGTAGTATAATCGTAACAGTTACCTTCTAAGGAAGTAGTGAGCTGGATTAAGGAACTGCATGAGCAATGCCAGGCACGTGGTAAACTCTCCACGCGTGTTAGCTATTCTCAAACTCGGGAGAATGAGAAGATAAAAACAGCCTGGTACAGGTTCAATCATGTTTTGCTTCTGCTACTACCATCTTATGCACTCTTTTCACACTTGCTACGAAGACACTGTTACTGAACCCCAAATTCGGCTGCCCCTGGGTTGAAAAGGCAATACTCAAGAGACGAGTTTTGATGGGAAGGGAATATGAACTTTATTCAGGAGGCCGGCCACTTGGGGAGAAGGTGGACTCTTGTCCAAAGGCCGGTTGTAAAGTTTCTGCCTGGCCCAGGGATTTTTAAAGGAATTTAGGGCAATTAATCAGTAAAAGGAGTGCAGTGGTCCATAATATTTCTTGATTAGGAGCAGACTCGATGGTGCCAGCTGCAGATGTTATCGCAGCGCTCAGAGGTTGTGCAAGGAGAATTGGTTCCTTAGAGCCCAGGGTTGTGCAAGAGGGTCTGATTTCTGTTTCCTGATGTGCAGAGGTACTGTTCTTTCTAGGAAAGAATGCATGGCGTATAGATAAGCAAAGGTTAATCTCTCGGGCTAAGGGTGCTTGCTAAAGCCCAGACTACGAGATCGGCTGGAGGGGCAAAGGCAGATTCAAGAGTATCTGTAGTTGTTTCTTAGTCTTTTCACTTCCCTGTGCTTCATCTCACCTATGGTTCATTTAGGCATAATCATATATTGTACTATAAATTGCTTCTTTTGTACAGCTTCCTTGAACAACGCAGGGGTTAGAAGGGCCAACCTCCACGTAGATGAAAATCCACACATAACTTTTAACTCCGTTCAGGCTACTGTTGACTGGAAGCTTTGCTGATAACATAAAACAGCCAATTATCACATATTTTTATGCTGTATTCTTGTATTATATGCTATATTCTTATAATTAAGACGGAGAAAAGAAAATTTTTAAGAAAACCATTAGAGAAAATACATTTACAGTACTGTACTGTATCAAAAA